CGGTCATCCGAGGGAAAACTCTATGGTTTTCCCTCGGATGGTCGTGGCCCCGCCCTCAGCGTGCCCGGCGTCATAACGTCACTTCCTGGTGACGTGCATGTGGCGCGCGCGCGGTCCCCCAGTAAGTACATTTTTCAACTTGGCAACCCTACTTACGGATTCGATAACACCCAAGCCACAGCCACAGTGTCTATTTGAGAAAGGTATGCCCAGCATGTGGCCTTCGGAAACTGAAGAGGGTAGTGCCTTGGTCTTGCGAGCATAATTGCTCATCTATACTTTGGGACTGTTAAGCTAAACAAATGCATAGGAATTGTGACGCTTGGAGGAATCCCCATATAGAGGGAAGAACAAACCCTCCTGGCTCTGCGTATAGTGCTGTTAATATCTATCTTCAAAATTAAATTTTTGATGATTTTACGAGCTGATGGCCATCCTAGAGCAGCAATCACATTTTCTGGGCACTGCATGACATTCAGTTTTTCTTCTATTGCTTGTTTCTACACACCAGGGAAATTATGATGCTTCATACGGAGCAGGAGGCTGTTATTCTTTGAAAAAAATTATTTTAAATCTCAGGTTCAGAGACAAAATCCAGGCTCTAACTTCAAGTGTTGGCCCACTTCTAATCTAAGGGCGGTATACCTGCTACATATTTTCTCATTCCACAGATCTGACGTAAGAACTGTGTTAACGGTCGATCTATGGTTTCGTCTGTTTTATGGATCCAGAGTGCTGCTCCGTATAATACTTGAGGTATCACCTTAGTGTTGAAAACTGCAATTGCAGCTGCAGTCCATGGAAGTGTAGTGTGGGTGTGACCCTGGAAGGAAGACTGTGATTACCAAGAAGGAAGGGGTGGGGGTGAGAAGACTTGAATTTTGTAAAACACAAAAAATAGAGTGCCTGGGTTGGTCTCTTTTTCTCCAACAGCCCAATGCGATTGCAAAAGGCAAACGCAAGGGGCACAAGGGTATAAAGAAGTCAGAGGAGAGAGACAGTGTGGGCACTGAAACAAAGTTTGAGTCCAGTGGCACCTTTATGACCAACAAAGTTTAATTGTGGGTATAAGCTTTTGTGTGCACGCACATGAACGCTTACACTCAGAATTAAACTTTGTTGGTCTTAAAAGTTCCACTGGACTCAAACTTTGTTCTCTAGCTTCAGACCAGCACGGCTGCCCCACCTGAATGTAGGTACTGGTTAGCATTGGACTTAGGGCTGCAGAGATCTGAATTCAGGTCCCCATACTGCTGTGAAAAGTGATTCAGGAGGGTAGCTGTGTTGGTCTGAAATAGCAGAACAAAGTCTGAGTCCAGTGGCACCTTTAAGAGGAACAAAGTTTTATTTAAAAGAATACAACTTTCTTGGGTCTTACAGGTGCCACTGGGCTCAGACTTTATTTTGCTGTGAAAAGTGTGAGTGTCTGGGGCCAGTCACTCTTTCTCAGTCTAATCTACCTCACAGGGTTGTCATGAGCATAAAATGGGGAAGGGAGAATCACACAGAAGCCCCCTGGAGGAAGGTCAAGCTTAAAAATAAGACAGGGGCCTAATCTCCAGCTGCTCATCTCAGACAGCCCGTGGCCAATGGCTTCTGGCCACGGCTGCTGACGGCACTCCTCCAGCTGCAGCCCCCCACTCTGCCATTCCTGAGGGTCCCCCCACCTTCAGGAACGACACATCGAAGTCACCGGAGACATCAGCAGTGAGAAGGGAAGGGGAGAAAAACTCTGCAGCAGAATGGAAAACAGATAGCTTTGGATTTTCAAACAGGAAAGCTGTGGGAAAAATATCGGTGAGCTAGGGCGGCAGCATATATTTTTAAGAAGAGAAGAAGAAGAGATTGGATTTATACCCCGCCCTTCACTACCCAAAGGAACCCAAAGGTGTCTCAGAGCGGCTTACAAACTCCTTCCCCTTCCCCTCCCCACAACAGACACCCTGTGAGGTAGGTGGGGCTGAGAGAGCTCTTGACAGAAACTGCTCTTTTTTCAAGGACAGCTCTTATCAGAACTACGGCTTGCTCAAGGTCATCCAGCCAGGTGCAAGTGGAGGAGTGGGGAATCAAACCCGGTTCTCCCAGATTAGAGTCTGCGCACTTAATACCTAAGGGACCGCCTTTCCCCACATGTTCCCCCAAGGGCACTACGGTCGGGGAATCAAAACCTCCTGGATGTTCCAGGCCCCAAGACCATCAAACGTGCGATGACCAGGGCTAGGGCGTTTACGGTGGCGGCTCCTATTTGGTGGAATGAGCTCCCAGAGGAGATCCGGGCCCTGCGGGACCTCGTACAGTTCCGCAGGGCCTGTAAGACGGAGCTCTTCCGCCAGGCTTTTGAATAGGAGCCGCCGCCGCCACTGTTCCATCAACGCCCTATAACTGCCGCATACTGTCATCGCTGGTGCGGGTGTCATCGGAGGGAGTGGGATGTGCCTAGGGACAACAGTGGGGCACTGTTATGTAACTGGATTATGGAGAACACCATCTTGATTTCAAAATCTGGAAGTAAGCAGAGGAGCACCGGAAAATGTTTTAAGAACTTTGGTTAATTGTTTGTCTAGTTGGTAATTTTAATCTGTATTGTTATTGTTTTATTGTTATTACTTGGCGTTATGCCTCTGTTAGCCGCCCTGAGCCTGCGGGGAGGGCGGGATATAAATCCAAATAAATAAATAAATAATACAGTGCATACAGAAGCAAGTAGGGGCAGAAAGACACAGAGAGCAGAGTGGAGGGATTAGAGAAAGGTGGCGGTTCTCAAACCAACCTGCAGGCATCCCCGGATACGGACACAGGGGAGAGAGGGGGGCATTTCTCTGACAACGGGGAAGGGCAGTCTAGGTCACTATCCTTCTCAACAGAGCAAAGCGGTGCCCGCAGCTCGCAAGTGTCCAGCCTTACGGAGGCACCGTCCTCAAAGACATCGTCGTCTCCCATGTCATCTGAGCAGAAACCGGTGCTCTCAACCACCACGCTGGAGGACTTCCCGGACTGGAGGTGGCCTGAGTAGGTCTCCAGTTCATGACCGCTTGCGCTGGAGCTGCGAGAAAAGGAGAAAAGGTAGCGCAGCAGCTTCACACTCCGGAACATTTCATGGTCGCACTTGTCCTCCAGGAGAGGGATGTTTACTGCACTGTGCGTATCGCTAGCCCCAGAAGGGCTCAAATAAAGGGTCGTGAGTGACCGGAAGTAAGAGGGTTTGGAATTACTCAAAGGAAAGGGTCTAAGGTTCAGTGATTTCTTCTCCATGGGAGAACATTTGGTAAACCTTAAACATGGCTCCTGGTTGGGTGTCAGTTTGTCTTCTGAGCATGTTCGATCCATGTAGCTAAAGCTCTCGACTGCACTCTGAGCATTCTGGTCCATGTCATTGAGAGACTTGGAGAATTTCAGAGCTCGGGCGGTTTCCCCATTCTTAGACTTGGGAGCAAGGATGCAATCCCGGCCGTGAAGATTCCTCCTGGAAGCCTGCACCGTATCCTGACAGAGAACTGTCACAGTAGCCCCTTGGGACAGGGAATTCTGGCAGGCAGGATTTTTCAAGACAACGGCAGATTGCACTGGACTGTGATGACAACATTCAGAACACACTGCACTGGAACTGCATGCATAACAATGGAACAAAAGCACAGAAATTAAAAAAAAAACAAGCATAAAAAGAACGCACAATTTTTGTAAGTGAAGAGGTAACAATTTCAGCATGTGTAGGGATGGCAAACATCAAAGCAAGAAAGGAACTGGCATCCAAAAGAGCTGCATTATGCAGACTACTGATATGGCTGAGCAACCCGCGTATTATAATGGGACCAGGCCGGTATCCTATGTAAAAGCAGAGCATGCGTCGGCACGATGCAGTTCCCTCCAAAACAGCTTCTCCTCGGTTGTGTTTCTCCTGCTGCGTCTCTGACGCCAGAAACAAGCTTGCTGAGAGAGAACAGCGGAGGGGAAGGGAAACGGGGCAAGGATTCATCACCCCATGTTTTAAATGCCTCCTTTTCCCCCCCCCATAGACAATGTTCCCTCTAAGCTGTGGAGTTTTGTGAGCAAAAATTCTACTTTGTGAGCTACTGGCATTAAAGTTGTGAGCGAGAGGTTTGGCTACTGCATAAATCAGTTTGCTCTGGCGCCCTCCTTCCTGAGCTAAGACAAAAATGTGTGAGCTGGAGGCTAAAAAACTGTGAGCTAGCTCACAATAACTCAGCTTAGAGGGAACACTGCCCATAGGTAATGGTAATGGTCATGGCCTGCATTGTAACAAGCTGGCTATACTACTGAAGCATCTCATTTGGCCTTTAGTTCTTCTGTATGTTTGGCTGGGCAAAATTTCCTACATATAGGTGAGCTTCTAACATTACATTTCTGTACCTGCATTTGGAAAACACTCAAATGGAAACATACTGGAAACTGAAGACATTTGCCTTCCAAAATATCTAGATCCTCCACTGGGAAATCATTCACCTCTGGTATTATACAAGGCGCACACATGCAACCATTATCTACAATACTGAAAGTACTGTTTCACTACAATGACACAACTAATACTTTACCTACAGATGTCCCTACTGGATGGTGTAGTAGATGCTCGACAGAAGCTCTGAGAAGCAGAAACAGAGGTAGGACCACCAATCTGCAAAGAAATTATACGTCCTTTGAGGCTCTGGCTAAACATAGTGCATGAGATGGTTATGTAGAAATATCCTTCTCAATTTGACATACCACAGCGGCCTTTGAAATGGAAACGATTAGCTTTAAAATTAAACCAACACTGGGAGAATATAGATCAAGGTGGGCAGCCGTGTTGGTCTGAAGCAATAGAACAAAGTTAGAATCCAGTGGCACCTTTAAGATCAGTCTTATTCAAGGTGTGAGCTTTTGTGTGCATGCACACTATGTCAGACAATGAAATGGAATTACAGATCATATAGAGGGTAGCTTGTTAAATTAGCATGCCAGTTTGGTGTAGTGGTTAAGTGCGCAGACTCTAATCTGGGAGAACCGGGTTTGATTCCCCACTCCTCCACTTGAAGCTGCTGGATGACCTTGGGCAAATCATAATTCTGTCAGAACTGTCCTTGAAAGAACAATTCTTGAAAGAGCCCTCTTAGCCCGACCTACCTCATAGGGTGTCTGTTGTGGGGAGGGGAACGGGAAGGAGTCTGTAAGCCGCTCTGAGACTCCAAGTGAAGGGCAGGGTATAAATCCCTCCTCCTCCTTTAACAAGCCACCCTCTATATATACAGCTATGATCTTTAATTCCATTTCATTGTCTGACATAGTGTGCGTGCACACAAAAGCTCGTCCCTTGAATAAAACTTTGTTGGTCTTAAAGGTGCCATTGGACTATAACTGGGAGAATATGATATTGAACATGAAAGCTGTTCCTGTGTTCTGACCCAAAACTGGAAAGTGTATCTCCTGTTTTATTCTAGTGGCTAGAATAGAGGCGTTGAACTCCTTTGTTACGAGGGCCAGATCTGACATAAATGTCACTTTGTCGGGCCAGGCCACACACGCCATAAAATGTAATGCTAGGAACCAGAAATATATACCAGAAATATAAACTGTATAAAGGACAGCAGTTGGTAAGTTCAGAGTTGTATCCTCACTGCAAGGCTCCACGGGCTGGGAAGGAGGTGCAAAGGAAAACCCATATGGGCAGACTGGACAGCCAGTGGTGCCACACTGGGCAGACATTCCCACAATGCTTGACTACTGCAGATGAGGCTGTTCCACCACGCAGAAGCCACAATCGGAGTGGCTACGCCCACTCCCCCCTGAACAGTCTCCTGTTCCCTCCCTTGTACTATTAGCTCGCGGGCCACATAGGAGCCCTGGATAGGCTGGTTCTGGCCCCGGGCCTTATGTTTGACACCCCTAGGCTAGCACGTATTCTGGGAGAAATCATGACCTGCTCGATTAAAACATTAAACCCCAGTAATCTCTTTTCCTTCCCATCCTTGCCTAACTTAAAGGTAAAGGTTCCCTTGCTCAAAAGCCAGTCGAATCCGACTCTAGGGTTGCGGTGCTCATCTCCGGTTCAAAGCCGAAGAGCCAGCGCTGTCTGAAGACGTTTCCGTGGTCATGTGGCCGGCATGACTAAACACTAAGGCGCACGGAATGCTGTTACCTTCCCACCGAAGTGGCACCTATTTATCTACTTGCAATTTCTTGCTTTCGAACTGCTAGGTTGCCTAACTTAAGGATAACTTAATATTGGGACATATTAATATATATTAATATATATATAATATATATTAATATATATATATAATATAATATACATTATATTTTAACTTGCTTGATCAAAGCTCTGAAGGTGACCTTGAAACGGAGAAATACATAAGTAACCAGAGAAGCAAGCAGTGTAACAATGGGTAACTTCAACTATAATCACATTGATTGTGTTTAATGTAATGAAAAACAACAACATTCCTAGATATTGTCAACTACTGTCCCTTGAAGCAGACAGTCACAGAGCTGTCTAGTGGTGACTCTACACTTAGTCCTGAGTAGACCAGGTCCAAGACGTAAGTGTTGTTACAGATATGGAGAATATGGAGCGCTATTAAATTCAGCCCTGATGGGAATGCAAGGGGACCCAGAGTGTTCAACACAGCCACGTATGACTCCAAAAGAGGAAATAGCTTAAAAATGAGATGAGCCAAAAAGAAGCGAAATGGAACAATCAAATCCCTTCAGAATTCTTGGAAATTATTTAAATCCATGATAATGGAAACTCAAAATATACACTGCAAATTAAGAAAGGTAACAACAAATCTAACTGAATGTCAGCATGGTTAATAAACTAACAAAGCAGGGGAAGCCATAAAAGGGAGAAGACTTGCCCAGGCAAGGTGAATGAGAGATTCAGGTGGGTGGCTGTGTTGGTCTGCAGCAATAAAGCAAAGTTTGAGTCCAGTGGCATCTTTTAAGACCAACAAAGTTTAATTTGGGGTATAAGCTTTCGTGTGCATGCACACTTCTTCATGCACACGAAAGCTTATACCCAGAATTAAATTTTGCTGGTCTGAAAGGTGAAGGAGAGAAGGAGAACAGGCTCTGGCAAAACAAATGTAAGTTAACAATCAGGTGGGCAATAAAAAAAATAGAGACACGCTGATAAAAGTATTAAGAAAAAAAATCTTTCAGTGCATCAGAAGCAAGACTCTCTCCAGAGAGATGATGGGGCCCTTGGAAAACCAGGGGGTGAAAGTATTGCTAAAGGAAAACAGGTTTGATTACAGAGGAATGGAATGGAATTTGTTGCACCCTTTTCCCCTGTAAAAAATGTGGGGCAGCTAGTCACACTAGAACTACTGTTTTCAGTAAGATTGTTTGAGCAGTTGAGTCAAACAGAAGGGATTAGAGATAAAGTTCTAGTACTAAAAAAGAATTAAAATTAACATCTATATATCTAATAACTAAGGCGCCCCCTGTGTGTGGATATCTAAATCCGCACATGGGGGGCACCTAGGTGGCAAAGAGATTTTCCTGCACATTTGGGGCAATCCCCAGATGTGCAGAAAAATCTGAAAAGTTGAAAAAATATAGAGGGGATACTTAAATCCCCCCCAAAATAAAAGAGTGTTCCCTGTGCATGTGCAGGGAATACTCTGAGAACTGCCTCGCTGCTGGGGGGGAGGGGGAGAAGGCTTGGCTAGCCGGCCTCGCTGCCGCTGCCACTGGTGGGGGGAAGCTTGGCAGACCGGCCAGGGGAGGAGGGAGGGGGAAGGCTTGGCGGGCCAAGCTCATGCACAGGGGTGGGGGAGAAGGCTCACCTGCGGCGGCTTCCTTCTCTGCGTGGAGCTCCCCCCACGAGTATCGCGGGTCACTGCTTCTTGTGTAATCTAATTTGTCCAAGATAGCACAATCTCGTCAGATTTTGGAAGCTGAGCAGGGTTGGCCCTGGCTAGTATTTGGATGGGAGACCTCCAAGGAATACCAGGGTTGTGACATAGAGGTAGGCAATGGCGAACCACCTCTGAACATCTCTTGCTTTGAAAACCCCAGCAGGGGTCACCATAAATCAGCTGTGATGACAGCACATTCCACCACCAATCCAGTCTAGGCAGTAGTCGCCCAGGGCTTCTCTGCCTTCCTTTCCAGAATATTTGAAGGTAGCAAATATAAGACTAATTATTAAAAAGAACACATAGGAGATTTAGGAAATTACAGGCCAATTAGCCTAATGATTGTTCTGTAGATTTTGATGGAAACTATTATTAGAGAAAGAATTACTGAACATACAGAAGAACAAGCCCTAGTGAAGAAAACTCAGCACAGCTTCTGTAAAAAGAAGTCCTGACTCATGAGCCTTTTGGAACACTGTGAGAGCCCCTTTCTCTGCGCACCTCCAATTTTAGAGGACACCAAATAATTCAGGATAAGAACCAAAGCTAATTGTGAAGAGTTCCAAAAAGATCATTCCAAATTAGGCAAACGGCTCACGGTATGGCAAATGAGTGTAAAGCAATACACATTGTGGCAAAAAAACCCTAACCTTAAAAATATGCTGATACAACTGGAAAATGGGGAGAAAAATGTAACCAAAATTACTAATTACTCACAGATATGCAAGGGACTCTCTACCTGTGACGGTAGTTGCTTGATTAGGAAGGGTCACAAGAAAGGAGCCTGCAAATTTGTGAGAGACTGCCTTAGCACACATAAGATTATTCACCCTCTATTTCCAGTTGTTATCTATTGTTGGCAGTGATGTCAATTATAAGGGATGGAGTTTCAGAAAGAAGTCCAGGGGCCCAGCTAATGAGCTCAACAAGGGGACCTTAAAACCAGGCTGTAGCTTCATGTTTAACGTATACATTACCATCTAAGGGGAGCCTCTATAAGACCACTGTGCCCAGAGTCTAAAATAGCCTAACTACAACCACTGATTATTGGATTAGAACAAAGTTTGAGTTCAGTGGCATCTTTAAGACCAACAAAGTTTTATTCAAGGTATGAGCTTTCATGTACATGCACACTTCCACAGATACATTGAAATGGAAGTGGACAGTTCACACATAGACCAAAATAAATATGGTCACAGTCCACAGACATGCAAAAATAAATCCATAAGAACTGTGCACAGTGCGCTCAATATTTCTTTAACCAAAATCGTGAAGTAATGAATATGAAAGTACAAAAGTAATAATAATACATTCAAGTTATAGATTCAGGTACATAAAGATAGAAGGTGACAACAACGGGACGGTAGTCTCCGGAATGCAGTGCCGTTTCGACAGACGTCTTCTTCTAACCAATAGTTTGATAATGTATGAAAAACTGCTCTTCAATGGAAAAGCTGCCCAATTCACATGGAGTTTGATAACAGTTTCACCTATTACCTTGCACAAATAATGGAGGAGAACATCTCTCAGACAGAAAATAGGAGACTGATTGTGTAAAAGTATCCTTCTTAATTGTGGAATGTACACAGTCTCCTATTTTTGACATATTTACTCTGTCTTTCCCGTAATTAAACCCAAACAAATTGTGACCATATAAACTTAATTTGTTATCACTGTTTAGTTTTTGCATCTGTTAAAACAACCTCATTGTGTTGTAGGCTAATTTGTTGTTCACTCCCTTCCTATATGTATGAACTGTTTACTTCTATTTCAATATATCTGAGGAAGTGTGCACGCACATTCAGCTCATACCTTGAATAAAACTTTGTTGGTGTTAAAGGTGCCAATGAACTCAAACTTTGCTCTACTGCTTCAAACCAGCATGGCTGCCCACCTGGATTGGATTACTGGATTGTCACGAGGCTTTTGCAAGCATTAGGAACGGGGATTAATAAATTGATGGTTTGGCAGCATTTCAGATTTTCATGCAGTACCTTTGAGATGTTACTTGACTGATTCATAGAATGCCCCAAAGCTTTCTTACTCTGAAAGAGAACAGAAAAGGATTACTACAGTGGGGGGAAAAATCCACTGTCAAAGTGTCTTCTATTATAGTAAAGGTCATAGTGTCACAGCATCTCTCTGCCTCTTTTGATCATCCTCTCTTCAGCACTCATCTTTGGCCTTTAATGAAACTGAATTTAACTGCTTTTCAGGAATGCACACACTGCCTTTCCTTCCAAACATCATTGAATTGCTGCTGCTGGCCAGTCCCTTCAAATACCTTGAGGAGCTTGACCCTGAGCATCTGCTGCCTTTCCCCACTGAATTAGGGCAGAAGCCAGGGGTGTGGCTCCTAGAAAATGGTGGGCTGCAAAAACTACAGCCAGGCAACAAGAGTGGGAGGGGACCACTGCTCATTTAAAACCTCAGCTTCAGGCGCACAAAAGCACAGTCGCTGCTGTGAGGCTGAAGGAAGAACCACCCCTCTTTGGCCTTCAAATGAGATTTTGACCACAGCTGACATAAATGGTCTGAATCAGAGCAGCAGCCCTGCAAGATACCCCAAGGTAGCAGAGACAAAAGTCATCAGACCTGGGTGATCGAGGGACTGCCAAGGGATGGATTTCTGAAACTCTTCCTTGGGCTTCCCACAAGGCCAAGACCAGGTGTTGCCAACTGACTGGGACCCAGAAATAGGGACAACCTCACGACCTTCTAGAAGAAGCTGGCAGCCATAATGCGCCTCTAACTTTAGTTTGTAGAAAAGTGTGGGTTTTGTTAAAATTGTGGTAAAGAGGATGATTTGGCAGACTATTGGAGGGCAGACTCCCTTGAAAATTGACTGGCCAATTTCTAAGAGTTTAACGGGGGGGGGGGGGGGGTCAGATTTATGTTTAATACTGATAGAAATCTTTTAGTATGTCTTAGTACAACCACCAGAACTTGATATGGTTGCTGATGTTAACAGTGAACACACAAACAAATAAATTAAATTAAATTTTAAAAGCAAACACACATACCATATTTGGTTCAGTGGGGAAAAATAATTCAATCAACTTCACAATCCTCATGTGTTTTGACTATGTTTAGTTAGTGTAATATGTAAATGTGTACAAATATTTTAGAAGTCTCAAGAACGATAGATGTGTGTATTGTCTAAAACACATGCATTTAAAAACAATTTTTAAAGGACAATGATACTGAATGTGTAAGAAATAAAGCTGATACACAATAGCCAGAAGCTCGTGCATATTGAACAAATTAATGCATCGCTTCTCAGCCTTTTGGCTAAGATCAAGTGTAGTGTGTGAACAAATTAATGTCAGTTTCCTCACAGATCAGTTTTGAGAAAACCTATTATAAAATGCACATTATTAGAACCATATTCTTAAATAAAAGATGCAGACTCAGAAATACACACAGGGTAAGAAGTGAACTATTTTCATGTATTTAGTGATCACTGGAATTTCCCCAGTCGGCAGCTCCGAGAGCACAGGGGAAGTCTTAGAAGGCCAGCCTCCTTGGTAATTTCAAGGGACAGCAGGAGCTCCCCCACCTTGGTAAATGGCTGTCCAGCTTTCATGGGGCAAGATGACCACTATCAGCCACAACTTTCATTTAAAAAGAAGAAGAAAAAGAAGAAGAGCTGGATTTATACCCCGCCCTTCACTCAGAGTGGCTTACAATCTCCTTCTCTTCCTCTCCCCACAACAGACACCCTGTGAGGTAGGTGAAGCAGAGAGAGCTCTGAGAGAACTGCTCTTGAGAGAACAGCTCTGAGAGAACTGGGACTGACCCAAGGTCACCCAGCTGGCTGCATGTGGAGGAGTGGGGAATCAAACTCGGTTCTCCAGATTAGAGTCCGCTGCTCTTAACAACTACACCAAACTGGCATAAAGTTAAAAGAATATTAACTGAATACAGAAATTCAAAACACAATAAGCAAGTAAAATGTCTACCGCTGAGCAAAGAATAAATCAAAATGGTGATAAATGCATTCCTCTTTCCTTAGGTCCCAGTATCTCCCAATAGTGCTAAGAGAGGGGCAAAATAGCCCTTACAGAGTAATCTTGAGCCCCAAGCTGAAAGTGCTTAGAAATCCAACTAAGCATTGCACCAGTGTACCTCAGGAGGCATGCCATCAGAGACATGCTGGTGGACAGCCACTACAGCTGGGTGCTGGAGGTATTTTGGCACAGCCACAGTGGAAGCAGTAGACATGCCATGGGTGGAACTGAACTTAGTGTGAAGTTACACTGGCAAAACAGGTGGTGTAGCCCAAAGATGCCCATGCAAAGAGAAAATCTACGCACCTTTCCACAGCCCCCATCTCGCCCCCTCAATTCTCTGCACAGCTCAGGATGCTGCCTACAGCTGTACTTCAGCAGCTAGGCACACATCCCTCTGCACCCAATTCACATACCCCTCTGCACCCAATTGCAGCCTCCCCCCAGCACTACATGAACTCTAGAAAGGATGGCCACAGCTCAGACGAGAGGGTGTACCACCTGGGGTTCTGTCTCTCAGGCCCCTGACGTGTACACTTAGAAAGCACAGTGCTGCACCATGGCGGTGGGAAATGCACAGAGAGGGCTCAGTGTTCAGTGCTAACGCCCAAGGGAGAGCGCAATCACTGAAGCAGCGTTACTGACGTGCCTCGGTTCAGAACTGTTACAGGTACCTCATCTTTGGAGACCCCTGCCAAAGGCTGGGGGTGGGGGAGCCAGCTGCAGCAGCCTGGGAGTCTGCACTCATCCTGGGTGCTCCCCAGCCATGCAGACCCCCATGGGTGAGACGAATGGTTGATGCATGCGGTGGCAACCCGAGGCAGTTCTACCAGCAATACCAGGAGAGTGTTGCTTCGATTTTATGCCCGTGGTGACAAGGGGAGAGGGAACCAGGCTGTCAGCACGACACCTTCCCAGGACACCCATTCCTCTGCAGTTGGGGGACATATTTATTTACCTCATTTGTATCTTACTTTTTTCTCCAATGGGCATTGAAAGCGGCTTACATCATGCTCCTCTTCCCCAATGTATCCTCACAACAACCCTGTGAGATAGGATAGGCCGGGTGTGTTTGTGTGTGTGAACTGCAGGCTGTGGAAGGTCAGTAGTTCAGCAGTTGGAGACCCGGGCAACCCGAGGCAGTTCTACCAGCAATACCAGGAGAGTGCTGCTTCGATTTGTGCCCGTGGTGACAAGGGGAGAGGGAACCAGGCTGTCAGCACGACACCTTCCCAGGACACCCGTTCCTCTGCAGTTGGGGGACAGATTTATTTACCTCATTTGTGTCTTACTTTTTTCTCCAATGGGCACCGAAAGCGGTTTACATCATGCTCCTCTTTCCCAATGTATCCTCACAACAACCCTGTGAGATAGGTTAGGCCGTGTGTGTTTGTGTGTGTGAACTGCAGGCTGTGGAAGGTCAGTAGTTCAGCAGTTTGAGACCCAAGTGTGCCGCATGACGGAGTGAGCTCCTGTCTCTAGTTCCAGCTCCTGCCAACCTAGCAGTTCGAAAGCGAGAAATTGCAAGTAGATAAATAGGTACCACTTTGGTGGGAAGGGAACAGTGTTCCGTGCGCCTTGGCATTTAGTCATGCCGGCCACACGACTACGGAAAGCGCTGGCTCTTCGGCTTTGAAACGGAGTCGGACTCGACTGGCTTTCGAGCAAGGGAACCCTTACCTTTATATATAACTGGCCCAAGGTCACCCAGCAAGATTTCATGGCAGAGTGGGAATGCAAACCCGGGTCTTCCAGATCGTATCGTGACACTCGAGCCACTACCCCACACGGGAAGCCCAACTGCCATGCAAGGAGACCAGAAGCCACCCCATCTTGCTGCGTGGAACAGATGGCCAAACACGCTTGGCTCCCTGGAATATGTTAACTGCAAGACTCCCTGCTCCTTGCACCACGGGCCTCCGTGAGGGTTGCAGTGTCTACTGGTATTTCCTCCCTATCGCCCCCTGTAGGCGATGTGCCATCAGGGGGCCATGGCTGCACTGGCAGGCAGTGGCTTGCTGTGCCCCTGTATGCCACTCACAGGGATGTCAGCAAGGTGCCTTTTCCTGATTGGTGGGTATCACCAGGGTTGTTAGGGACTCCGGCATACTCGCTAGGATGCCTCAGCCTCATGGGGGAATGTTTGTTAGTCCCTCCCCTCTGTGGAATGGCCATAGGGTGGCCACTGGCAATGCGTGTGCTGTGGCAGAGCTCTGCCCGTGTCCCTACACTGTAGCCAGCTGGCCCTCCTGATCACCCTGGCTGGCTGGGGCTGACTTTGCCATTGTTTTGTTTCCAAAACAACTTGTGACCAGCCATATGGGCCCACACAAGATCCAAAACTAAAACCAAAATCATGTAATAATTTGAACCAACCAAAATGGCACGATCTCTCAGCCTAACCTACCTCATGAGATTGTTGTGAGGATATAGTGGAGGAAGGGGAAATGATGCAAAAAGCAACCTACCTCATAAGGTTGTTGTGAGGATATAGTGGAGGAAGGGAAAACGATGCAAAAAGACACTGTGGGTTCCAATCAGGGAGAAAAGAGGGACGTGAATTTTTAAAAAATAAACTCTTCATTGGGCTGGATGTTTCTGAAGTCATTGTCTTTCCCCTTACACATAATCAGACCGCACCCAATTCTACATGGTGGAAAAATTTAGCCAGGAATCCACTGATAAGAAACTTTCCCCCCACATTTAGGAAAGTGCTTTTATCTTGTTAGCTACTCACCATTAACATATCAGTTGTACTTCTTCCTTGTCCAGGCAGGTCACCAGCTGAAGGCTAGTCTTGAAATACATGTATGGCAGCCTTTGCCCTATCGGAGAAACAGTTTTAAAGCCGCCTCCAAACACTGTGAGTGAGCAAATTAAAACGTCTTCTCCAAGCCAGTACATTTTACATGCTTCCGGGTGTCATTTCAGCACACCTAATACAAAACACTTGTAACCAAAGATGCATTGCCTCTGTCTCTCTCGTATGCACACACACCTTGTGGCAACTTAACCGAATATAAAAGCTATCGTGCATAGTTCAATAGATTGCTTCAGTCACCCTCATTCTGCTTATTCATTGATTGATATTTACTGATTTTAACTTGGCTGTTTCTGGGTAACCGATGATATTCAGGATACAAAATCAAGAAATCCTGCATTTTAGAAGGCTGCAAGCAAAAGTTGCGTCCTCCACTGAAACATATCTTGCACGCTGCTGTGTGAACCAATGGCGAGTGGTGAGAGGATATATGTTTTTGTTTTGAATGTCTAAGTCCATGTTGCCAAAGAGATAAACATATTTAGCTGCAGCCTTGGGAATCTCCACGCTGGGACTGGTGGCAGATGAACAGATCCCAAAGGTCAGGATTGCCTCTAGCTGGGAAGATGCCAGGAAACATGAGAGGCTGCAGATTAACACCCTGCAAACCACTTCAAGGCATGAACTAGATTTGTGACAGGTGGGATAAACCAGTGTAGAACAGTGCCAAAGGCTAGGCAAGAGGTCAGAGTAGGAATATGCACAATTTTTAAAGAATCCCCTGGCTTTAAGAGTATTACCAATACAGAAAAAGCCAAACAGGCAAGCGATGTCATAGCTTACATTTGGACCCTGACGTGCATTAACATTTTTTTACTTTATTGCTTTGTCGTGAGTAGATGTCTGAGTTTCCCTGTTGCTGCAATTATTACTACTACCTATTGCAGAACAAGCAGGGACAAACAATTAGATCCCAGTCCTGCGGTGGCTCAAGTGGTTAAGACGCTGAACTGCAGGCTGCGGAAGGCCAGTAGTTCAGCAGTTCAAGACCTGGGTGCCGCAAGACGGAGTGAGCTCCCGTCTCTAGTTCCAGCTCCTGCCAACCTAGCAGTTCGAAAGCAAGAAATTGCAAGTAGATAAAGAGGGACCGCTTCGGTGGGAAGGTAACAGCGTTCCGTGCGCCTTGGTATTTAGTCATGCCGGCCACATGACCACGGAAATGTCTTCGGACAGCGCTGGCTCTTCGGCTTCGAAACGGAGATGAGCACCGCAACCCTAGAGTCGGATTCGACTGGCTTTCGAGCAAGGGAACCTTTACCTTTACCTTGTGGTACTACTGGCAGTAATAAAAACAATACTTAGATTCCTAAGAGCAACTTTAGGTGGGGCAAAGGCGTGCCTGACCAGTTTTGTGCTCTCTCTCTGACCTTAATAGCTGATTCATAACACTTTAGAGGCTGTGCCTGATTTCTTCCCTTCCCCTGTGCATGGTGCCTGATACAGCCTGAAACCATCGCGAGAGCCAGTTTGGTGTAGTGGTTAAGTGCGCAGACTCTAATCTGGGAGAACCGGGTTTGATTCCCCACTCCTCCACTTGCCCCTGGCGGGACGACCTTGGGGCAAGCCGTAGCTCTGATAAGAGCTGTTCTTGAGAAAGAACAGTTTCTGTCAAGAGCTCTCTCAGCCCCACCTACCTCACAGGGTGTCTGTTGTGGGGAGGGGAAGGGAAAGGAGTTTGTAAGCCGCTCTGAGACACCTTTGGGTAGTGAAGGGCAGGGTATAAATCCAATCTCTTCTCTTCTTCTTAATAGCTGATTTATATGTTACACTTTAGAGGCTGTGCCTGATTTCCTCCCTTCCCCTGTGCATGGTGCCTGATACAGCCTGAAACCACCGCGCAAAGGGAAAAGGCCTCACACTTCCCCCTATGTCGTTTTCCTGGCCTGCGTGAAGGGTTAGAACAGAGCTTCCTTTCACCATTCTAGAATGAGGCTCAGCTGGTGGTGTTCCTCAAATAAGAAAGAAACCCCACAAATTGCAATTCATCCTGGCCTGTTGCACTATTTCGTCAAGATCACAAAACACTCCAGTTCTGCAAGTCGTTTATATTATTGCTCGCTCTATTGACAAGGATCAGTGACACAGAGAATGCTCATAGAATCAAGGTGGGGTAGCCGTGTTGGTCTGAAGCAGCAGAACACAGTTTGAGTCCAGGGGCACCTTTTAAGACCAACAAAGTTTTATTCAAGGTAGACGCTTTCATGTGCAAGCACACTTCTTCAGATACAATGAAATGGAAGTTACCAGTCCATACATATAGGTAGAGGGTGGACAGCAAATTATCATACAGCATAATGAAGATATTTAACAGATTCAAGGACCAGACAGGAATAACAAGCTTAGGTTACCGTTTGTTTGGGTTTAAGAAGAACGTAAGAGATTAGGGTCTCAGAGTGGTTTACAATCTCCTTCTCCTTCCCCTCCCCACAACAGACACCCTGTGAGGTAGGTGGGGCTGAGAGAGCTCTCTCGAGCACTGCTCTTGAGATAAAAGCTCTGAAAGAACTTATGACTGACCCAAGGTCACGCCAGCAGCTGCAAGTGGAGGAGTGGGGAATCAAACCCAGTTCTCCCAGATTAGAGTCTGCACTCCAAACCACTACACCAAACTGGCTTTCTGTTTAATTAATTAATTTAATTGATGCTGTTACTATCTGCCCTACGACCGATATTTTCCATAGAGCACTGCTTACAAAAGAACATTTAGCTATCCTTGTGGTAGATGCAGACAAGTTGACTGATCATCTCAGCTAGAGACTCAGCTCAGCTCTAGAAGTATTCCTTTCATAAGGATTCTGGCCCCTGAATTTTCAATAAACCTACAGTACAAAGTATTCTCCAGTTGGCTCAAGTTATAGTAAATGGGTGCTCCTCATGCACACGAAAGCTTGTGCCCAGAATTAAACTTTGTTGGTCTTAAAGATGCCATTGGACTCAAACTTTGTCCTAGGGCTCAGGATGGCTACTAAAGGCAACACGTGCTACCTTCTACCACCCGTGTTTTACCAATGTTAGGCCTGGTGCTGGACAAAAGGCAATGTTTTAATAAACAAACCGCCTTTCCCCATATGTTCCCCAGAGAGCACTGCGATCAGGATCCCAAAACTGCCTGGACCTCCCTGGCCCAAAGGAAGTCAGGTTGATGGCAACCAGGACGAGGGCTTTTTCGTTTGTAGCTCCATCCTACTGGAACGAGCTTCCTGCCGAGATCAGGGCCCTACGGGACTTGTCACAGTTCTGCAGGGCCGTGAAAACAGAACTTTTTAGGCAGGCGGTCCGCTAGGAGCGACGCCCTACCAGCAGCGCCCTGCGTGAACTCCGATCCAACACGATCTAACGAGGGGGCACCGCTGAATGTGTCCTTAAACTGCACTTTAGTTTTATCGCCATCTAATGAATGTTTTATATTGATTGGTTGTGTTTTAACTGATGCCTTGTATTTATATTTTATTGTGAATGTATACTGCTTGTCACTTTTTGGAAGCAGCCCTGAGCCTGCCTGGCGGGGAGGGCGGAGTAAAAGTGAAATAAGCAAACAAACAAACAAACGCCTTCATGTCAGCCTCTCCTTTGGTGGGATCCAAACCCATGTCACCCACTGGCCACACAGATGCCCGTCCTCCGTAAGCTACCAGTGGATGACAGGATTGCCTTTGCTGAAAGCACACTTGTCTGTTCCCTCGTTGCTGCCACTGGGTCTGCATTCCCCTTGCCTGTCCAAAGGCTGATGCTTCCTAGCCCAGACCAGGACCTGTACTCTTGTGCAGACCCAACCCGTGGGGTGGCAAAATTACTGCCATACAAATGAATGTGTTTTCACCTCTCCTGGGTTTTTTTAATTTCAGTTACCCCCCCTCAGCGCATTTGATTCAGAGCATGTTGCCAAGTGGCACAAAGTTATTCATGACTACATCTGGCAAGGAGGCAAACGTTCAAGATCACCACCCTCTAAAGGCCTGGAATTCACGGCATAACAGCTCCCGCCTGCCCATCTCTACTATCAAGCTGCCCAGTTCTGAGTTAGTGTTTCGATTGGATTAATAAACCAGACAACAAACACTGGCTATCTTTGGAGCTGGATACACTCGGGAAATTGCCAACGGAACACGTTCTGTGGACTCTTTGGTGTCCTGCGGTTCTGGAGCATCCATTTTGTATAAAGTATTGAGGGTGTGGAGACTCCCCCCCACCTGAGTTCTCACTGAGTTTTTTAAGTGTTCTGGTTTTTCCCCCTCTTCTCTCTAGAAGAGCAGGAAGCTAGGTCAATTACATGCCACACTTATGCAAATAGCTCAGCTTGCAAAGGAACTGAGGGATTTGGTGTTAGGAAACTCCAGGTGATTCCTGGAGATTTCCCAGAATGCCTGTGAGGAGGGCTCCCAGGATGCACCTGGGTGGACCAGGTCAAAGGGGTGGAGAATGCGATGTAGGATGGGTGGAGCCAGAGGTTTAATCAAAGTGCTTGCTTCCAGGAGGGAGGGTCTCTTGGTGCTGATCTTTGGAAGAGGCCAGACTGCTAAGCTCTGTTCTGCGGACCAGGACCTCTCGGCCATGTGGCCTGGCCTGCTGGCTGCCGAGAGCCTTAGGTAATGAGAGACCTTTAGCACCTTTTGTAACTTTCTAAGCTTGAAATTGCCTACTCTATTTCAACGTCTAGTAGAGTACGTTTAGAACCAGGGACAGGGGATGTGATTATGACCAACTTTTATTTTTCCTTCTGGTTGCAGATCTTGTGCTGCACTAAAAATAGGCTTGCAACCTATTTCTCTTTTTAATAAACATTCTACTCTTTGAAGCTGGTAGTGTTCTCTGGACCACACAGTTCCCCCAACCACCTTAGACCATGCTACTGTAAGAGGGGAGTACCGGAAGGGGGAAGGCAAGCAGTCAAGGCACCCGTTGCCAGTTCTCCATGGGGCCCCCAAAGAAGGCATTTGATCCCTGTGGTAAGCAGGAGCTGGGCAGCAAGAGACCACAGGCAGGGCCTCAGTTTGAGCAGCCTTTGGCTGGGAGGGTGGAGCAGGAATCCAATAAAAAAATAAAGGGGTGTCAGGAGCCTGTCCTGGCAGGAAGACCCCAAAGAACAGAGGTGGCAGCAGTAACCTGGTGTGGAATAGCACCCTCCAGGAACTGGCACCAGCCAAGGAGGGGGCTGGCAGAACAGGGTCTCGGAGCAGGCCTGTTCTGCCCCATCTGGTATGGAATGCCTGCAAGAGCAACAGTGCAATCCCAAAGAGAGCTACACCCTTGTAAGTCAGCTGAAGCCAGCATGATGCAGAGTTCAGAATGTCAGACACACTGACCCTTTTTTCAGGCCTGCTGAGCTCAAATCAGAAAATTCATACCCCCAAATGGCCTTCCCATTTTTGAATTTCCGAGCGGGCTCCGTTTTAGCGCGTGAAGAAGTTTTGGCGCGTTTTGAAGCGCCGCCACCTTTTCGCGGCTTCGAGTGCACTCCCTGCTCAGCCGCAGTTCTTTTTCTCGCAGCGCGGTCTTGTTGATCCTTGGGGGCCCCGCCGGCATCCATCTCCTGAACGGAGAGGGAAACTTGTTCTCCGGCTCGAGTAGCCAGTTTGAATTTGGGTAAGCCGGCCAGTAGATTGGTCCCTGTGTGGACGTTTCTCCCACGGACCGAGATAGAAAGGAAAGAGAGAGGTTTGGGTTTTTTCTAGATAAGATAGAAAGGTATTAGTAAGAAATGAGTTTGAATATTTATAGCAAGGTTGGTGTTAGAGAGATCCAACACCTAGCTGCTCTCCCTACTGAGGCAGGAAAAGAACTGAGCCAGGGGTTCTGTTCTGCCACATCTGGTATGGAATGCCTGCAAGAGCATTCCCACCAAAGGAAACAGGAAGAACTTGAACTTAGTCCTGCCTCCCTGATGATAGATGGGAATCACTCACAAGATGGCCTCCACCTCGGAGAATGGCCATAAGAGATGCCAATGTTGGATCAGGCCAAAGGCCCATCCAGTCCAACACTCTGTATCACACAGTGGCCAGAAATACCAGGTGCCATCAGGAGGCCCACCAGTGGGGCCAGGACACTAGAAGCCCTCCCACTGTTGACCACCACCCCCAAGCACCAAGATGACAGAGCATCACTTGCCCCAGAGTCCCTATCTATACCTTGTGAAGTCCCTATCTATACCTTGTCTCTACCAATTTCTTTTGGACTTTTTATAACAATGAACAACAAATGGCAGCCCGACAGCAGAAAAAAAACCACACCTTTCTTTAAACAAAATTGATATTGAAGCACACTCCCCTCCCCCCCAATTCTGCCTAACCAAAATTCTGTCTCTCTGGGCTTCCTAGTATAGAAAATGACCCAGTTCCCTAGAAAGTCAAAATTCTCAAGCAGAACACACACACACACGAGGCAGGCTATGATCATGTAGTCTTATCGTTCCCCATTCACCTCAACATTTTGATTACAGACCCCTGAAAAAAACACCAAAATGAAAAATCAAGAAACCTTTGATGATACCTGTTGTTTGATCTTGCTCCTAGAGATGCCGCAAAAGGTTACATTCCAAGCTGGAATAACAGAGACTGGATGCAATGGCATATTCACTACATCACCAGTACAGTATTAGTCTTCTTGAACGGAATTCCTTTTTTTCATCCTCTGCTTTTACTGGGCCACACACCTATAACAAAGTATTAATTCAAAAATTAGAGGAACAGTTAGCAAGGACTACTGACAGGAAGTATATAACTCAGTGGCTATTAATCAGGGATATTATTGGATCGTGGGTAGAAATAGCTAGGATTTAAGAGAAGATTTTAACATCAAAAGCTGATCATATTTTGCCCCAAGGGAATTCAAATTGGTATTCTGAATGTGCAAAGCAAAGTTAGTACAAAGGCAATACTTGTACTAATCCATAAGTTTTTTTCCAGTTATTCGACACTCATTCAGAGTCCAGCACCTCTCTTGAAAAGCCTGAAAGCCATATTCTTGCTAGGGAAAGCGAGCATTTTTCTATCATCTGCACCTAATACTGGAATCCATGCAAAATCACAAGCACATGTTAGGACACAAGCCTGCCTTAGAGAGACTGCACGGTTTGTGGCCTCGTCTCCCTGAGAACAGAGACATTTTTGAGCCGCAGAATACAAAGCACGCAAACAGGGCTGCTCTGTGTTTACAGCTTCATTCCTCAAGTTTTCCCCCCACTGTGACCTGCTGGCCCTGTTGCACCCTCCCCTCTAAGGTTTCCCCAACACCAGGAAGGGCTTCTCTTCCAAGTTCTGGGGCCTTGCCTGTGTCTAGGGTTGCCAGGTCTGGGTTGGAAAATACCTGGAGACTTTGGGGGTAGATCCAGGAATGGGTGGGGTTTGGGGAGGGGAGGGGCCTCAGCATGGTACAGTGCCACAGCGTCCACCTTCCAAAGCAGCCATTTTCTCCAGGGGAGCTGAGCTGATCTCTGTCAGCTGGAGATCAGTTGTAAAAGCGGGAGATCCCCAGGCCCCACCTGGAGGCTGGCAACCCTACCTGTGCCTGCAACTACCCAGTGCTTGGTTACCAAGAGGACAGCTTACTGCCTTGTGCACCGCTGGGGGGACAGCCACATGCCAACTGACGGCCCTCCCCTTACTCCTAACTGCTCCTTTCGAAATAGCATGTCCAAGATGGTGGATATCAAAAGTTATAAAGCATTTATTTAAAAGAAAACGTTCACAAGCACACTTTTAGCACAGCACCAGATTGAACAAGGGATTTTAAAAAAAAGGAGAGCCAGTTTGGTGTAGTGGTTAGGAGCGCGGACTCTAATCTGGGAGAACCGGGTTTGATTCCCCACTCCTCCACATGCAACCAGTTGGGTGACCTTGGGTCAGTTACAAGTTCTTTCAGAGCTGTTCTCTGAAGGGCATGGGTGACCTTGGGTCAGTTACAAGTTCTTTCAGAGCTATTCTCTGAAGGGCAGTTCTTGAGAGAGCTCTCTCAGCCCCATCTACCTCAACAGGGTGTCTGTTGTGTGTAGAGGAAGGGAAAGGAGTTTGTAAGGCGCTCTGAGACTTCAAGTAAAGGGCGGGGTATAAATCCAATCATCATCTCCTCCTCCTCTAATTTAACAATTTCAGAGCTGTTCTCTCAAGGGCAGTTCTCGAGAGAGCTCTCTCAACCCCACCTACCACCTCACAGGGTGTTTGTTGGAGGCAAAGGAAAGGAAAGGGATTGTAAGCCGCTCTGAGACTACTTTGGGTAATGAAAGGCAGGGTACAAATTCAACCTCTCCTTCTAAAACGCAATTCCTCTGTCCCTCCCTCTATATACACCCTATCAGCAATGTTCCCTCTAAACTGTAGAGGCCTGTGAGCAAAAAATCTACTTTGTAAACTACTGGCATTAAAGTTGTGAGCAGGTGAGTTGACTACTGCATAAATCAGTGTGTTCTGGAGCCCTCCTTCCTGAGCCGAGAAAAAATGTGTGAGCCAGAGGCTAAAAAACTGTGAGCTAGCTCAAATTCACTCAGCTTAGAGGGAACACTGCCTATCAGATGTTAAATACAAGGAGGGTTTCCTTAGCTTAGAAAGTTACAGATACTCAACAGGGTTTTCATTACCTTCAAGCCTCTTTCAAGTGCGCAGGCCAGCACATGGCAATGACCCCCTCCCACTGACCTCAAGTCAGAGTTCTGTCTGCCTTGATGGAATCAGCTCGAAAGAGACCCCCCTCCTTGCTCCCAGGGATTTTATCATCTCTCTCTCCCCACCCACTGACCAGGTCAGGCTGGGTCAAAGAAGCTTTTCCTGAAGTCTCCAGGAGGTTCTTCCTGAAGACTCTCTACTAGTTAATACCTCCAAATCTCTGTTTCTGCCTGGGGGTGTGGTGGGACTGGACCATCCCATTGTCTCTAGCAAGACCTATTTGCATTTCTGTAAAGGTGGCTCAAGTGGTTAAGATGCTGAACTGCAGGCTGTGGAAGGTAAGTAGTTCAGCAGTTTGAGACCCGGGTGCCGCATGATGGAGTGAGCTCCCATCTCTGGTCCCAGCTCCTGCCAACCTAGCAGTTTGAAAGCAAGAAATTGCGAGTAGATAAATAGGTACCACTTCGGTGGGAAGGGAACAGCGTTCCGTGCGCCTTGTGTTTAGTCATGCCAGCCACATGACCACAGAAACGTCTTCGGACAGTGCTGGCTCTTCGGCTTTGAAACGGAGATGAGCACCGCAACCCTAGAGTCGGACTCGACTGGCTTTCGAGCAAGGAAACCTTTACCTTTACCTTTTAAAGGTGGCTGAGGTGAGGCTGGAAAAGCAATTGAATTGACTCCCCCCTTCTTGCTTTTCTCCCCACCAGAGAGGAATTTAAAAAAACAAGAACACAAAGTGAAGGTTTCGCTCAGTTCAAATCTTCAAAGAAACAAGGTATTTCTTCACACCCACGAGTACAAGGGCTCAGACAGCACAATTCTGAGGCACACAACAAGAATGGCGTGTTACTGATGTCTATACAGCTGGTCAGAAGCCTATGCTCTTAAGAACATAAGAACATAAGAGATGCCAATGTTCGATCTGGCCAAAGGCCCATCCAGTCCAACACTCTGTGTCACACAGTGGCCAGAAATACCAGGTGCCATCAGAAGGTCCACCAGTGGGGCCAGGACATTAGAAGCCCTCCCACTGTTGGCCCCCCCCCAACAAGCACCAAGATGCTTGGTGCTCTTAGGAAAAGCACACCAAAAGACCCAACTTGAACATTACAGAACTGTATCAGAGAGAACACTTGGGGGGGGGGAGTGGAAAGTTAAAACTGCGCTGGAGAAAAAAAAGATCAGAGTGGTCCTACCCGGGCTCCTGGCCAGGGCTGAATGGCCGAGCCTAGCAGTTCCAATGGCCCAGGACAGGGCCCAGGCAAGCCCGATCTCATCAGATCTCAGAAGCTAAGCAGGGTCGTCTGTGGTTAGTACTTGGATGCTGCGCCGTATTAACCCATGGCCTGGCCCCTAGGCTTTCAGGGCCCCTCTGGCACTTCAATCTTTCATCCCACTACAGCTGACAGCCTGACCCTGGCATGGTAGGTACTAGACAGCAGTACATAGCCCTATATCCATTTTGAGGATCTCCTGAAGAATTCTATCCGTAATTTTTACAGGCTGTCTATGAAGAGAAAAGGAGCTGCGGTGGCTCAAGTGGTTAAGACGCTGAACTGCAGGCTGTGGAAGGTCGGTAGTTCAGCAGTTCGAGACCCGGTTTGCCGCATTGAGGATCTCCTGAAGAATTCTATCCGTAATTTATACAGGCTGTCTATGAAGAGAAAATAACTGCCTCTGCAAAAATAAATAAATAAATACATTATGGGGCCCTAGTCAGCCTTATGGATAATACAGCCCTGCTTGGATGGGGGACGTCCTCGGAATACCAAGTTGGGAGGACAGAGGCAGGCTTTGTTCAGCCACCTCCCTGAATATCCTCCAGGCCCCCCATCAATGGTCAGTCACCAGAGGTCAACATTACTTCCAGGTGCAGACACACAAACACACAATGCCAAAGGGGGGGGAGGGGCGCGCGTACAGGACAGTGAGGTATAGGTATCTGATCCTGACCAGGCTTTTTGTCTTCTGTTTCCCATGCACATGTGCTTAGAAGAAAATCCCCCTTTTTCACTAGCTCGGCTATTGTTGGTATTCTTTAAATATTAAGGCTGCAATCATTTCTGACTGTCTGCTGGCACAGAAAAGGGCACGGTGTAATTTGCTGGCAACAAAGGTAATATAAGGAGGGATAGGGAGGCAGTCTCTGTTTGCACGGCAATCACAGCAACCATGAGACCATTCAGGAGCCAAGCATCATTAAGAACATAAGAACATAAGAGAAGCCAATGTTGGATCAGGCGAAAGGCCCATCCAGTCCAACACTCTGTATCACACAGGGGCCAGAAATACTAGGTGCCACCAGGAGGTCCAACAGTGGGGCCAGGACATTAGAAGCCCTCCCACTGTTGACCCCCCCAAGCACCAAGATGACAGAGCATCACTTGCCCCAGAGCCCCTATCTATACCTTGTGGCTAATAGCCACTGATGGACCTCTGCTCCATATGCATAGCACACACCTGTGCATTCTCTGTGCATAGCACACACCTGTAACATAGAGCCCCCTTCCCACAAACACTTCTTACGAACTGCTATTATATTTCAGAAACGACATAAGGAAATCATAGCAGAGTAAGGGCATTAAGCCCCACAATGGCTTGGCCCTGGTAACAATGGCTTCTACTTTTAACAGCAGACCAGGCAAGCAACTACACAATGAACATCCCCAAAGCTCTCACTGAAGAACAGTAATAAGTACGCTGTAATTAAAGTATGCACAATATCAGTCATTACTTAAAGTCGCTGTGTAAAGGAGAGCAACATCATCTGTACAGCTGGTTCACTGCCCAAGTGGCTGTTTGGGGCATCAACCTGGCAGGAAGCAGCAACAGGTATGGTCTGCACCTGCAACCAATGCTCCCTCTAAGCTTTGGAGTCTTGTGAGCAAAAAATCTACTTTGTGAGCTACTGGCATTAAAGTTGTGAGCGAGCGATTTGGCTACTGTATAAATTAGTTTGCTCTGGAGCCAGCCTTCCTGAGCAAGGACAAAAATGTGTGA